GCTTGATCCTCAAAATTCTCCACTTCAAGAGGGTTCAGTAGCAGAAAGCACCAAAGGATGGCTTATTTGTCAAGAAGATCTGATCCCAGTGAGGTAACACACCAGCCTCAGGGCTGATCTCACTCACAGCAGGCACAGGGCTCTGCTGCAGCCAGCAGCTCTTGCCTTACTGCTTACAATAATGGATTTGGTGCAAAACTGCTTGATACTTGACAGAAGAGCAGGACTGGGCTACATGTGAGAGAGAGATCTGCTTTTAAGAGACAGACACTGCTCCAAGGAGGGAAGAGAAAGAGGGGGGGGTGTTGAAAAGGAGAACCAGAGTACAGTTATGGAGAGGAAACACAAGAGATTAAAGACAACACACTTTCCACAGAGGCAAATCAGATTAAAAAATTTACTTTAACAGACCTAAATATCCTCTCTAGTAACGAAAGGAAAATGCAATGTGTTACATTGAAAAACAAGTCTAATAAACAGTAGCTTCATGATATGGTGCTAATTAGCTCATAAAAATCTTCATGGGCTACAAACAGAGCAAAATGCTTCTGCTTTTTCTTTTCATAATGCTCAAAGCTCACTAATGTGCCACAACTCTTATAAGAGGCAAGACCACAAATAAGGCTTCGATGTTTAAAGGCATCTAGGAGGCTGTGGGAATTCTGGACGTCTCAGAAGAGGTCCCCTTACAGCTCTTTCTGACAAGGCTTACTATGAGCTTACTATGAATTTACTATCAACTTTCTATGATGCATGGCTGGCCACTCTTGGAGGCAAGCAGACCTTACAGTCCTCTACAGAGAGGTACACAGCTTAGCATCTCATCCAACTCAGGAAAGGCTCTAAGATTCCATGAAGCTCTTAGTCTCTAGGTAAACATCAGAAACCCCAAACCTCCTACCTGAAGCCTGGTGGTATCTAGCTGCTTGGGAAGCTGCTGCCTCATAAGACAAGAAAACTTTGCTGCTAAGCACTGCTGCTCTGGCTGCCCAGGCTGAGATGGCTCCCAGGCAAGGAAAGGTATCAAGGATCTGAGTAAGACCACCAGGTAACAAAAGCAGCTCTTGACCGAGACAGGTGAGAACAAGCAGGCTGCAAGAGACAGGCTCAATTATGGGGCTGGTATAAAAAGGCTGCTGATAGCATACCCCTGAACATCTGTTAACTGTGTAATAGCTATTTACAGAAACATGCTAAATGGCACTCAGCTGAAGTATGTTTGTATTTGATTTCTTTGATTACTCCATTTTCTGACTCAGGTTTGCTAGATCAGCTCTCCCTGTTAAGTGCAGGTGGTTAGAACCACCTGAAAACCAATTTCCTTTTTTGTTTTAATTTATGGTCTCAGCCTACCCTTTTGCTAGAGGGGTATGTATTACCACACCTGCTCTGTATTTCACTTTCTACTTCGCTAACTGTGAACAGACCTGAGTTCTTTGTGAGTCCAAAATAGCTCCAAAAAAACCTGCTGAAGCCAGAACAGAGGAGGTGATTTGGCCATACTGTACTTCTGTGTGGTACTGAAATCCTGATGTACTTTTCTCTTGCTCTGCCTAAGAGCAAATTTATGCTTATCTTCTCAGAGCTTCTATTCTGCTAACTAACTAAAAAAAAAAAAAAAAAAAAGGAAACAAAAATGGACACACAATAGTTAATGTGAATGAGCTGTGGCTTGAAATAGCAGGTAACACATGGAGACAAAAGACAGTCACTATCCTGATGCTTCTATCTTTAAATGTTTGTTTATGCTAAAAATATGCTTCAGCCCAGCAAACTTGCCTTTGCATATAACCTTCACTGGAAACTTAACCTACACTTCAGACCCACCCACATCCCAAAAGCCAAATATTGCAGATGTTTTCTGAAATAGTCAGGAGTTCTGGGCTCAGAATCTGAAAGACTGGGTTTAAGGTGACAGAAAAATCCAAACAAATAAACCCCTGCCATAGCTTCCAAGGTGTTATTTTCAAACTTTATTCAGCATGAGTGTTTCTGCTTCCCCTTGATGCCAAACACAACATTCCTGGGGAGGTGGGTGTGGATCCTGCCCCCACTGCTGGGCTGGGGCTCAGGAGTGCGGATCTCTCCAGAGCTGCACGCTGGGGAGGTGTCCTGGACCCTGTTACAGGAATAATCACCCCTAAGCAAAGGGTGAAATCCTCTGCCCCTGCTGAAGCCAGAACAGAGGAGGTGATTTGGCCATACTGTACTTCTGTGTGGTACTGAAATCCTGATGTACTTTTCTCTTGCTCTGCCTAAGAGCAAATTTATGCTTATCTTCTCAGAGCTTCTATTCTGCTAACTAACTAAAAAAAAAAAAAAAAAAAAGGAAACAAAAATGGACACACAATAGTTAATGTGAATGAGCTGTGGCTTGAAATAGCAGGTAACACATGGAGACAAAAGACAGTCACTATCCTGATGCTTCTATCTTTAAATGTTTGTTTATGCTAAAAATATGCTTCAGCCCAGCAAACTTGCCTTTGCATATAACCTTCACTGGAAACTTAACCTACACTTCAGACCCACCCACATCCCAAAAGCCAAATATTGCAGATGTTTTCTGAAATAGTCAGGAGTTCTGGGCTCAGAATCTGAAAGACTGGGTTTAAGGTGACAGAAAAATCCAAACAAATAAACCCCTGCCATAGCTTCCAAGGTGTTATTTTCAAACTTTATTCAGCATGAGTGTTTCTGCTTCCCCTTGATGCCAAACACAACATTCCTGGGGAGGTGGGTGTGGATCCTGCCCCCACTGCTGGGCTGGGGCTCAGGAGTGCGGATCTCTCCAGAGCTGCACGCTGGGGAGGTGTCCTGGACCCTGTTACAGGAATAATCACCCCTAAGCAAAGGGTGAAATCCTCTGCCTGATGTAAAGTTCAGTGGCACTATGTGCATACAATATACCATAGTAGTGACACTTCCTCTTATGCCTCTAATACCAAGATATTCATGATATTAGTTTAGACTGTATTTTTGTACCCCTGTGAAAAAGTATGATGGATACTTCTGGAATAAAAGGTCTGGCTTGGCAAATGTCACTGGAGATGCAAACTTGCATGCAGATTATGCTGTCTTTCCAAAATATTTATCAAGTTTACCTTTTTTTTTAATATATACATTGTATACACACCACAGGCTCAATTTTCCCATATTGGTGCTTCTCTTCATGCTCGAACTCCTTACATCTACAGAGTCCCTGAAGAAGCAAAACAGTTTTTTCTGGTATTGAACATAATGTATGGAATTCTTCCCCAGCTGTTGGCTTACAGGTGTGTCAATAAGCCAGAATTTTTTATGAAAACAAAACAAGAAGAAAAAACAGACTAGCACAACAGTTTTCAGCTCCTCTTTTTGGCGATGTATATCGTTGGGTTGGGATGTGATTGAAGTGCTCAAATGGAACCCAAATGAAGGTGTGTAAAATGGCACAAGTGTGTGAAAAGTTGCACGGTCTGTTTTGTTTATCCTACTCAAAAGGGGAAAATAAAGACGACTGCCTTCAGTACCACTTCTCAGCATTGTGACTTTGCTAGTTCACAAAGCTATTTTTAAGTAAGCTGCTTTGACAGTTTTAGAAATACTGCATGAAGTTAAATAATAATAATGATGTCAGTGTTTAGCCTTCACACACTGAAGAATATCAGTGCTAGCAATCCCTAGGCAGAGCTGCTGTTGAATGTGAAGGTCAACATTTTGAAGTGTCAAAAATTAACATACATAAGTCTGTCACATGCACATGTTTTATTTGTCAGGAAGTATGCCTTGTGGGTCAACCTTGTTAAAAATCCCAAGTAATCTTTTAAGAAGCAATCAACTCTTGTGGTAAGACTCCATATATAATAAGCAAATCAGATAGTTTTGTTAAATCTTTTAGGGCTTCACTTCTGCAAGGACTGCTCATCTCCTGGAAGTTAGGCATGTGCTTACTAGCACTTCTGAGCTAGGTACGGAGGGCTCATTACCTGGAGCAATCAGGCCTTACTCTGTAGCATGAATTTTCAGAGGGGAGGGTATTTTGGCTGTGTTCTTCACTGCAGCAGCTTTTGCTAATGCTGTTGGGTCATAAACAAGTAGCAGCAAATACAGTGACCTTGGTTTGTGTGGTTTCTGTTTGCAGTTACATCTATTTCTATGACTTCTATGTGTGTTTATACCAATAGCAGTATATTTAGTGCCTTTCTCACAGATGAAATCAGCTGATACCTTTTAACTGGAAACACTTTATTTTGGGATGTTGACTTTTGGGTGTTCTGATTTAGAGAATTTTGTCTTATAAACCTAATCAGTCACAAGAAAGCATCAGCTCATGCGCATGCGTGTCACACCCTGACAGAGGGGGCTTGAAGAGCAGCAAGAGGTTCCTGCTTTAACTCCTTCCTGCTG